TTCAGTGACTAATTGCATTATTTTGAAAGGTCAGTGACCCCTGCGTGCATGGCTTAAAGTTCAGTGACTAAATAGGCAATTCACTCCATATAAGAGATTCTAAAATCATGAATGAAGAATGGGCGAAAAATTTCGCTACTTTGTTATTATTTGATCTCTTTCGGAAGTTGTGTTGATTGTTAAAGCGTTGTTGTGCTTTTGTTTGATAATGTTCCAAATAAATAGGAAGCAATTTTTTTTCTTTTAATTTTTATTTTTTTGTGTGTGTGTGGTGGTGGAAAATTATATAAAATATTTATCTCTATTTGCAACATTAAAGTTCCAATATTTTTTGAAATGTTAATGTTCAAATAATATCTTTCAACATCGTTTGATTAATTCATTTTATAAAATTTGTATATTATAATCTTTTGACATTGTAATTTTACATATTCTCCTATTTTTCACGTACTTAATCCTAAAAAAAGGAGAAGAAGAATTTTATTCTGTAGATCTCTCATGATTTATTTTAGTTGATCTAGCAACCCCCAAATTTGAATTGGGAATAAAGGATTTGCAATCCCTCACCTTACCACCGGGCCATACCGCCAAAGCGATACAAAATAAATATGATACCTTTTGTAACGGTTAAAATTACTTGGGCCGGATAGATTCTTCTTGTAGCTAATCCTCTTAGTAGTTTGGTAATAACATCTAAATGTTCAAATATGGTCTCGCGAGAGGTTTGTAAAACTACTTGGACTGATGCAAATAGTTAATCACGGAGGAAAAGATTCGTTAAGCTGAAATCACTGATACTAATCTCATTTAATTAAAACGAATTTCCGTGGTCCCACGCAGTTAAAAATCCCCTTTTTTCTCTTTTTCTCTCTTTTTCACAACACGTTATCAGCACGATTCTCTAAGTATTTTTTTTACTTGCACGCAAGTATTTGTATGTATATATATATATATACTCAATTTTAGAAAAGCTTCTTTTGACTGCCACAAGCCAATACAATTATTATGTGTAATGATTACTTTCCACTGCCAATTGTACTTTTTTTAATTTTACTTTACTAATGCATATCTTTGGACTTTGTGTGAATTCTTGTCTTCTGTGCTTTTGTACTTGTGAATCACTGGCATCTGCAATTTTAATTTTCTAGTTCTCTGTGTATATTTTTTTACACACAATTCTGCCACATTCAATTTATCCACATTCAATTTGTATCAATTCTACCAATTTTAGTTTGAATCAATTCTGCCATCCTCAATTTGTATCAATTTGTGCCACAATCATTACGTTTTCCTGCTTAATGTTTATAAAATTTTGATTAATGCATTGGGTTTACATGCCGTTTACATGTACTGCTTTAGGTTTGTCAAAATTAATTCAATTTGAAATTTTCCTTTTCTAATACA